GGATGGATGGATAGATGGATGGATGGATGGATGGATGGATGGATGGATAGATGGATGGATGGATGGATGGATGGATGGATGGATGGATGGATAGATGGATGGATGGATGGATGGATGGATAGATGGATGGATGGATGGATGCATCTGGTTTCTGTCAGTTGAAGACTGGAAATATCCAGAGATAGGTGAGGCCACAGGCCCACGCCATGCCAGGGAAGGTCCTGGGGCTGCCCCCACCTGCGACCAGGGAGGACGCATCTCCTCGGAGCTGCTGGGTGACCTGTGGGACCTGATTCCCTAGGGTGCCATCCCGAGTGGGCACACACGGGACTTGCCCACCTGCTGGCCTTGGCTCCACGGGCCTCCCAGTATTGCTGACTTTCTCTTTCCATCCGTGACTCACTAAGGCCCTGCCCTGAGCCCACAGGCTGCCCTTGGACGCCTGTCCTGGCCTCTGGCCTCCTGGGCCCGCCCCTGACCTGGCCTACTGCCAGAGGCTGAGATGTTGGAGGGGAGGAGAGGGGCCGGGGTGGAACTCTGGGCAGGCTGGCCGTGGGGCAGTGAGGGCACAGAGCCTGGGAAGCGGGAAAAACACATCTGCATCTTTGGTGAACACTGAACGTGCAGGTCCTGGTTGGATGTGGGGGTGCGCTGACACTGCTTCATATGGGGTGACACTTCCCAGTTCCTATTAGGTCAGCACCCTGCTTGCAGATGGCTCATAGGAGCCCCGCCAATGTCCCCTAATTGCAGAGCAGGCCAGCCGCAGGTCATGGCGGCCTTGGGCGGGTGACGGTCTGGGAGGGGGTTGGCCTGTCTTGCTTCCCTGTCCCCTGCCCCTGAAGGGCACTTGGGAAATGAAGAGATGGGCGAGATGCTCTTCTGTGACTGGGGTCACATCACTGCTGGTCCCCGTCACTGCTTGGATGCTCTGTCCCCTCACCTGGAAGATGGGTGAGAACATGGGACCCTTAGAAGGTACTGCTCAAAAGGCCAAATCATAATCTGATCCCAGGCTAGATCCCTGGCCCCATCTTGCCGTGGAGTGAGGGCCCCAAGGGAAGGACTGAGCCCTGTCTCAGAGGTTCTCACAGGCCACTTTCTAGTGGGCCCCACTGCAGCCACATGGAAGGAGGGGACGGACACCTTGGCTTGAAACCAGCTTGTGACATCCACCTGGTTAGAAAAAGATGACACTGGGCTGGGGGGACAGAAGACAACTTCTGGGGCAGCTTCTTGGGGCCACACCTAGGCCGACAACCACTAGAGTTAGTATTTTCCAAAAAATAAGTATTTGAGAGCAAGAGAAGAAAACCGTAAAAACATTTAGCTCCCTGATTTTCAACACTATAAAGTATGATTAAAAATATAGTGACTGTTGCAATGGAGTGCACCATGCAACTTCTGGATCTCCCCCAAAGTAAAAATGACAATGAAAAGTAAACCTGTTGAGTCAATTCAGGACATTGAAGCAGCCAAGACAGCACAACTAAAGACACTCATGAAAGAGCACTTACAGAACTGCTTCAGAAAGCAGCAAGAATGATGGGATAGTGTGTTCAAAGTGAGGGGAGTATTTTGAAGTGAATTAATAGCAATATGTCTTTTACTGTAACACATTTTTAAAAATTTAGACATTCAGGCTGGGGATTTAGCTCAGTAGCACCATGCCTGCCTTGCAAGCACAAGGTTCTGAGTTCAATCACGGGTACAAAAAAAAAAAAAATTTAGATATTCATTGTTATTTCAGTCCCACCTTGTATATCAGTCTACCCATACACCATTTCTCCAACAGCTATCTTTCTATCCTGCTATGGTTTAGATCTGGGGTATCCCCCCAAAGCCTCATGTGTTCGGAAGGAGATTGGATAGGGATAGATATGACCTGGCAGTAGGCCAGGTCAGGGGCGGGCCCAGGAGGCCGGAGGCCAGGGCAGGCATCCAAGGGCAGCCTGTGGGCTCAGGGCAGGGCCTTAGTGAGTCACGGATGGAAAGAGAAAGTCTCCACTTCCCGTAGAGACAGCTGCCTCGTTGTTAGAAAGTGGGGCCTGGTTGGTGTCAGGTCACGGGGGTGTGACTGCAAGGGTGTATCTCCGTCCCTAGCTCTTCTCTCTGCTTTCTGGCTGCTATGGAAATAACAGCGGTCCTCCACCCTTCCCAGGCCCTTCCACCGTTCCATTTCTCCCCTCAAGCTGGGTGACCATGGAACAAAAATGTGAGCCAAAATAATCCTCTCTTCCTTTAAGTTGTGGCTGTCAGGCATTTTGTCTCAGCTACAAGAAAGTGACTAAGACAATAACTGCCTATATTAGTTAGCTTTCCATCACTATAATGAAATACGTGAGATAATTAACTTAAAAAGAGTAAAGGTTTATTTAATTTCAGAGTTTTGGAGGTGTTAGCCCATTGTTTGGAGGTTTGGTTCCATTGTTCTGGGACTGCAGCGAGGCAGCATATGATGGTAGGAGCACATGGCAGAGAAAACCGTTCACCTCACTGGCCAGGGAGAAAAGAGGAAAAACAAGGGGGGGACTGCAGTCCCCGGCTCCTTTAGGCCATGCTCCAGTGACCTACTGACCTTTTACTAGGTCCCAGCTCTCAGAGGTTCCACCACCTCCCGAGAGTGGAGCCCTGGGGCCTTTGGGAGAACACTCGCCCAAGCCACGCCGACCTATCCTAGCTACCATCTATCTATGCCTGTGTGTCCATCTAGCATCTAGCATCCATCCACCCACACACCCGTCCACTTGCCTATCCATTTAGCTAATCACCTCTTTAATCCGTTGCAGGAAGAGGGTGAAGGAAACAAACCTCCATCGCACTCAGCCCCTTAGGGCCACTCCCAGCTCTCTGTGACTGTCCCCACCCTCCACAGCCTCACAGCTCATCATTCTTGCCATGTTAGGTCCAGCTTGTACCAGCGTTGGGGCTCAGGCTAACCCTCTGCCTGCAACATGCTTCCCCCCCAGCACTGCCCGCTGACCTCCCTACAGGTCCCTCTGTGGATCCCCAGAATTTGGTAGACCATCTCCTTCCTCCTTACACACCTTGCTCACCCTCCAGGTGTCCCCACTACGGTGTTGTCCCCATGAGAGAAGATCTGGGTTTTCCGGGCAGGGAAGGCCTCACAGAGGAGCACCTGGGAGTGAGCTGGGCCTGTTTTCTATTGCCCCTTGCCTCCTGTGACAGATGCATAGGGCCTAGCCCACTTGGAGGAGTGAATTCCACCCCACACATTTCCTAAGCACTGATTGTGTACCAGAGAGGGGTGGGACGCAGGCTGCAGAAGGTGGGGCTGGTGGGAGAGCCAGGCCAGACCAAGGACCAAGGATCAAGTAGGAGAAGTCCAGGCGTGGACTGGGAGTGTCCCCCTTTCCCGGCAACAAGAGGCCTGTGGGCAGGACACTTATTCTGCTGGGCTCAGACCACATTCCACCCAAGCACATTGACTTCTGCTGGCGTGGACAGTGACTCTAGCCCAAGATATCAAAGGTAACAGAACCCAGACAGGGACCAGCAGAGGGACAGGAAGAGGCAGCCCTGGACAGTGGAGGGATGGCCTTGGGATGCCTGGGAGGAAGCATTCCAGAGAGAGGGATAGGACCATAGGGCGTGCTAGTGAGACACACCCAGATGCTATAGGGGCCGCTAGCATGGGTGCCTGGGGGGGGGAGGCCACCCAGGCACAGAGGTGTGGGGCCCAGGATGTACATCTGGGGGATGGGGCTGTAGGGGGACCTGCTCACCTGGGGACAGAGCTCTAGGGGTCCTCACCTACCTCTAGGCTTTAGATTCCTTGTTAGTGTTCAGCCCTAACCACAGGGCTCCAAACCTGGGAGGGTAGCCAGAGCCTGTCCCCAAGATCTCATACCTGAGAGGGGTCTGACTTGGTTTGTGGCCTGGCCTCAGTGCAGCCCTCTCAGTATCCACCTTGCCCAGTCCCATCTGGGTGAATTTCCTCTTAGCATAGGAGGAAGCAAGCCATGTATTGGCCAACGTCTGGCTGCTGTGGCCAGTCCACACCAGGGGCCATACCAGGGACCCTGTGCTGGCAATGTACACCTGAGCCAGTCCCAGGACAAGCCCAGGAGGCACTGCGTGGTCCCTGGCTGCCTCCAGGCACACAGACAATGCCACTGCCTGTCAGAGGTGCACTTCAGGCCCATGGTCCATGGATACATCTTGCTTTAAAACTTGGCACATCTTGGAATACACTCCACGAAGACAGAGTACTTTCAAAAATTCTTTGTGGGATAGTCATAAAAGCAGACAGAGCAGTGCATAAGCCCCTGGCTTCCGAGTTATCAGCACTTTTTCAGTCTCACTTCACCCATTTTCCCTATTTCATGTACCCTAGAGGTTGGTTTGGGCTTTTTTGAGATAGAATCTTGCTCTGTTGCCCTGCCTGGCCTTTAACTTATGGGCTTAAGCAATCCTCCTGTCTCAGCCTCCCAAGTAGCTGCGACTACAGATGCATGTCACCGCACCTGGCTTTTCTGAAGGAGTAAAGATTTGATTGTTTCACCCAGGAGCACTTTGCTAATGGATCACTTTGAGAACCTGACTGTCAGCTACATGTGATGAGGGGGGCTTGGGTAACCTACTTAAGACATCAGATACTACAGCCATCCCAGGCTTGCTGCTCTTGGGAGAGAGGCCTTTACTGCCCATCCTGTGGCTTGAGAGAGTTGCTTAGAGAAGAAGCAGAGGATGGCAGGAGATACCCCAGTATTCCATCCGGAGGGACCAGGTGTGGGGACCCTGCAGCAGGGCAGAGGCATTCAGAACGGAAGTGGGGAGACGAAAGACTGGGGCTGGGAGGTACAGTGAGGAGAACAGGGTGAGGAGGGGCCTGGGGAAGGGCTGGAGGCCAGACCAGCTGCCTCCTCCAGGAAAATGCCCTGCTGACCACCACAGTGTAGGGCACTGCCATGGCGACCGTCGACAACAGATTCCATAGCAGTGAGGCTGGGCACCAGGACAATGCAGGTCAGCCCAAAGTGATGCAAGCGCTGGAACTTCACCTGCATGGACAGCATCGTGCTGCTGCACACTTGGCACCTGCCCAGTCAGGGGTGGCTACTGGAGATAAGGACAAGGACTTTCCCAACTCCCGGGAGAAAACAGCCAACTTTCCAAAGCCACCAACGTTAAGGAATGCTTTGGGCAGCCATGGCACAAACACCCTCTAGCCCCATGACTCCAGGTACCCAGGCCAGTTGTCCCAGAAGCAGACTTCCTGGCAAGGCTGAGGGATGTCACAGGGCCTGACAGGGTGCAAGAACTCAAAGGCAGTGAGGCATGCATGGGGTCCTGGGCAGGTCTTTATTTTATCTTGTTCTGCTACAAAGGACACAGCAGGCCCCCTGAACATGGGACTGATGCACCGGCTCCAGGACAGCCAGCAAAGGCCATTTGCAGCACTTCATATGTGAGTGCCTGGTGGTCCTGCAGAACCCTGGGGGCCGATCCACCCAGGTCCTCACCACGTGGCGGGTGGGGCCTGGCCTGCTGCATTTCTCACACCCACTGGACAGACTAGTGGTGCAGGTCCTGGGACAGTGGAGAACACACATGGCAAAATGTTCACAAGTTTGTGAGGGCATTCTTCAAACTATTCTTACAACTTTTCTGTGTATTGGGTAAAGAAATAAAAGCAGCTGGGTGCAGTACTACACGCCTGAAATCCCAGCTACTCAGTAAGCAGACACAGGAGGAAAAGGAGTTCAAGGCCAGCCTGAGAAGCTTAGCGAGACCCTGTCTCAAAATACAAAATTGAAAAAGAAAGAAAGCAGCAAGGCATTTGAGCCTCTGACCCAAGCCCCTCTGCCTCCAAACAGCAGGGACAGGCTGGAAGCCAGAGAGGACCCCAACCCCAACATTCTGGGGAAGGCACCTGGATGAGCTACATGCTCTGAGGCTTACAGGAAGGGGCCCCAGCAGGGTTCTGCCCCAGGGCGGGGAGGACAGTGCCCAGAGCCCCACGAGCAGGAGCACGAGCCTTCTTGGTCATTCTTGATTAGGAAAGTGGGCACTTGGACCCCTGAGAAGGGGCTGGGGCTCTGCCGGGTCACTGCTGGTAGAAGGTGCGAGCACAATCCGGGGCCCAAGTGGGCAGGGCCGTCTCCTGATGGTCACGTAGCCCAGGTACTAAGGCTGCAGCCCACGGCCACCACTGGGTCCCACGGGGGTGCTGGCTATCCAGTGTCTTTGGCTTAGGAGGCAACAGAGGCAGCAGTCAACAGGGAGACCTGGGAGGCCCCACAGGAACTGGGGATGCTGGTGTATCGGCAAAGGCAGGAGCAACTCCTCATCTTCCTGGAATATCCTGAGACACGGGCCAGTTGGGTCCTCAACCAGCCTATCAATGGACCTGCTTTGTGTCCCCAGGTGGCAGGTGTCTGGAACTCTCCAGTTCTGTCCTCCCGGGCCTTGTATCCATGCCCCACATGATAGTCACAGCGGGAGCAGAGGCTTGTTCCAGGTGCTGGCCTGGCGGATTCAGAGTGCTACACACAGGGAGGTGGACGTCTCAAGGGGATGGCAATCCTGGGCTCTGGGTGACCAGCTGTGGAGCAGGTGCCACTCAAGGTCTGGAAAGAAGAAAAGATGTATGAGTGCGGACCCATTTGCCAACAGCTGGAGTGGGCTCTGAGCCCATCCTGGTGACCAGCCCGTGAGTGTCAGGGATACTCACCCACTGGGACACTCAGACTTTGGAATGAGAGCCCTGTATGACCTGGATAAATTATGACAATTCTCCTAGCCCTCAGTTTCCCCCTGAAATACAGCATTCCCTGGTCACTGTCAAGATTAAAAGGCTTGGCCCATTGCACCGGGCCAGGGCCAGGGAGCTGGGACCACAGCTACTCAGCAGGCCCAAGACTCTGTTTCGGCTGCTTCTAGTGCAGGATACACAGCAGCCTGGACTAGGGACCCCTGAAGACAGCCCTGAGGACACCCATGAGGATGTGGCCAGGAGGACCTGGCCCATGTGTCCACAGGTCCTGGGCCTTCTTCTCGGACAACAGATGATAAATTTTGGCGGGGCTACCAGGGATCGAACTTGGGTCCTTGTGCTTGGGAGGCAGGGGGCAGAACCAGATGACAAATGTTTAGGAAGCATCGAGGGCTCAGGACACATGGCAGGTGCCATGTGTGAAGGGGCAGGCTGGAACCTAGGGCTTCTGGGAGAATGACCTACCACAAACCAGGGCAGTAGCCAAGCAGTAAATCAGAGGCCATGTGGGGCCGTCCAGATCCTGGAACAGAAGGAGGGCAGCCTCGGGCTCCACGGCCAAGGCAGCGAGCGGGCCCAGGGTATGCCCTGCGAGGGTATGCACACCTTGCCCTTGCCCACGTGCACTGTGGAGTGGGCGGCTCCAGCCTCCACCTGGCTCAACCTGGCTCACCCTGGTTCACCCTGGCTCCTGCCCCCCCTCCCCGCCCAGGCTGGGTGTCTTCAGGCATATGCTCACCCTCTCTGAGCTGGGACAGAGGCAGGGGCTGAGTACGAGGTGGGAAATGCTTCTATCCTGGGGGCCATGACCTGCACTCAAGGAATGGGGTGGCCCCAGTCTGCCCTGGGTCTGTGCCAGAGCAGGGGGGGCTGCAGGCCCCTCAAGGCCTGGCCAGGGACACTGAGATGGGTGTGCGGCCTCCAATGAGAAGATCCCAAATCCTGCTGTCCTGGTCAGAGTGGACAGCAGAGGGCCTACTCCAAAGGAGGCCACTTTCTCAGAAGAGGGCTTGGGTGAAGGGTTGCCTGCCGAGTGGGGCTGAGAGGAGCAGAGCCCAATCTCAGGAGAAGCAAGATATCTCTTGTTTTGTGAGAGCTTTCTGGCTATTTAAATGGCGGCTACAGGGGCTGAGGTGTGGCTCTGTGGTAGAGTGCTTGCCTTGCACGCATGAGGCTCTGGGCTCCATCTGCAGCACTGCAAACCAAAGCAACCAAACCCAAAACTCAGAGGGTGGCTCCAGAACACATCTCATCTAAACACCATGACCACAGGACCTCAAAGTGGCAAGGTAGAGACCACGTAGTTCTGAGTGAGGGTGCTTGGGCCTGAGAACGTGGCAGGGACAGCTGGCTAGGGGCCCGGTGAGCCCTCAGAGCCTCCTTGAGGGGGTCAGCCAAAAGCCCTCACTCCTCCCCACTCACCTGGATGCCCTACTGCTGGGGTGCCACGCCCAGGACAGGCTTCTGGACCCCAAAGGCAGTAATGAAGATGTTGACCACCACGATGATGAATACCAGTCCTGTGGCCACGTTGTTCAGGAAGTCCAGCTTGGCATGCTTGGCAGGGTTGTTAAGGTCGTACTTAACTGCGGGCAAGAAGGAACTGGCATGGTGGCGGGACCTGGCCCAGGACTGTACTGTCTGGACGCTACAGGGCCCTCAGCCACATTTAGGGTAAGTTTCATCCCCCCAGATAAAAACTGTCTGTTTTGTTAAAGCCCTGACAACAGGTCTTCTGCCTTGTCCAGCCCCCTCTTCGGTGGTCCCTTACTTTCCCCACAAGGAACTGAAGCCCACATAGGTCACATACCCCAGGCCATGCTGCTCCTGGATATCAAGCTAGGCAGGTCTGGTTTGTGAGACAAATGTGCTGAGCCCCTCCTGCACTTCAGTCTATGGATCCTGCCAACTCCCCAGGGCTCTGCTATCCCACCCTTTCACGGCTGGTAAAACTGAGGCCCCAGCACGTCCACTCACATGTCCTAGGTCACCCAGCCGGAGGCAAAGCAGAGATGACCTGGTGCCTGTGCTGCTCCTGACCAGGACTTACCGCCCGGACAGCCATCAGGGGTTCCCCTGGGGGCCCGGCAGCAAAAGGTGGCACCTTGTGGAGCCCCTGGAAGACCCATAGGGCTCAGCGACCCTTCCTGCCTGCCTGTGGTCTGTGGGTCTGTCGACCGGGCAGGGAGGGTTGGTCCGATGTCAAGGAGGGGTGGTGTTTAGGGGCTTGGTTTGGGGAGAGTGGAATTCTAGCAGCTGTACACTGCATTTGGGTTTAGCTGGGTATCCTGTTCATGGCCATGGCGGTCAGGGTCAAGAATCCACTCCTCACCTCCCAGGCTCAGAGGTCACTCCTCCCCTCCTGGTTCAGGGTCCCCTCTTCACTCCCTAACTTGCTCCTTTTATCACTGGACAGTTGTCACAACGGCAGGCCTGTGCTGCTGCTGCTGGGGCCGTGGGAGCAGCTAGTCCAGGCTAGCTGGTGGCAGGAAGCCCTAGGGGTCTGGGAAGCAGGAGGTCCTATCCCCCCGTCCCCACAGGCCCTGCCCTGAGGACCCAGAGGGCACATCCCCAGCTGTGTGCACAGACACCAACCAAGGAAGATGAGCAGCACCCCCACGATGATCTGCAGCACCAGGGAGATGGAGATGAGGACCACCAGGGGCATGAAGAAGGCGAAGGCAGGGCCCTGCTCCACCACAGCCTTCAGCTGCGATGCATTGGCCATGAGCAGTGCGATGTCCAGCATGCTCTCAGCAGCACTCTTCTTGTTGGCATAATGGTTCACGTTGATGGGCTGGCTCCTCTGGCCCCAGCGGGATGGCAGCTGTGGGGAAGGGGACACTCAGCAGGGCAGAGGGAGGGTGGGGACTTGAGGGGGACACCAGGAGGGGCTGGTACACGGAACGGGGTGGCAGTGTAGGACTACAGCTTCAGTGAGGCTGGAGGGAGTTGGCCAAGGACGCTGGAGGTGCTGGCTTCCACCACCCTATGGCCCTGAGAATGTGCTCGGCCTTTACTGCATGTTCCCTAGGAACAGGAAGGAGAAGGGGAACGAGAAACAGCCATCTCAGCACATGCCCTCTGGTTTTCAGCTGGAAAATGTCAGCAGGCTCTTGCCCTCCTGCCCTGGTGGAGGGGGTGGCACTCCTCCATGCCCACCTGGCCACCTGCCAGCCTGTGCCCTCGGGGTCTGGGCTGCTGCCTGGCTGCTGTGACATATGATCCAGGCACATGGGCCTAGGCTTTATATGGGCCCTTTCTGGGCTGGGCCCAAAGGCCATTCCTGCTTTGGCCACCTCTGAATTGCAGACCCCTCTGCCCTCCCTACCCTGCCTCCTCAGCCTCAGTGTCACTCTGCAGAAGTTTGGCCACCTTCCCTAGCCACAAGTTGCTCGATAATGAGTCCCCCAGCACAGAGCAGGCACTCAGTAGATGCTTCGGCATCCTGCACAGTTAGGCTTAACGTACAGATACATGTTGCAGTGGACATTGCCTGGTGACATTAGCCTGGGATGACATTTCCAATGTCCCTTCTCATCTCCCTAACCCAGTGAGTCTGAAGGGGCCCTTTAGTTCCCTCTACTCTCAATATCTTTCCTTATTTCCAGATACCCTCATGCTTTGGGTTTGTTTAGGTTTATTTTGGTTTTTTGAGACAGGGTCTCATTATGTATTTCAGGCTGGTCTTGAACTCACTAGGTAACATAGGCTGGACTGGAACTCACAGTGATCTTCCTGTCTCAGCCTCCAGAGTGCTGGGATTACAGTCCTGTGCCACTACACCCAGCAAATGCCCTCATGCTAAGCACCGCCCCCCTCCCAGGGTCTTCCATGACATTCCCTGGTAGGAAATGGCCCTCTCCTGCCATGGAAAGTCACTTCTTAGGCTGGTGTGTTTCACTCCAAGGCAGTTCTGGATGTCCAGTTTCTTTCTGCTGAGCCAGCTGGCCCGGTTCAAGCTATCCTGGGCACACCCCTTCCCAGGCACCAGGAAAAATCCCACTGGCCGTAGGTCCGGGTCCTATGTCCACTTGTGACCCTGAGTCACCCAGCCCTGCATTGCAGCCTTCAGGGATTGGGCAGTGGGTTGGAATGGTGGTCTGGACCCACTGCTGGTGGCGGCCTCTTGAGCCCCAGGAGATCTTGTTTCCAGACTCATGAGAAATGCAGAAGCTGGTGCCTCAGAGCCAAAGGAGGGTAGACATCAGCAGTCATGTAGCCGCTTCCGCAAGCTGAAAAGTTATGAGCAGCTGACACAGGGAACAAACAGAAAGAGGGTGGGGACTTTGCTTTGATGCTGTTAAATTTAAATTTCATCTAAAACAATGTGCCCAGAAGGAAGTTGGGAGCCACAGGTAGGTGCTGCTGCCTGTACCTGGTCCAGAACATTCCAATCACCTGCCTTTGGCATCAGCTGCTCTCTGCCAACAAATTCACCTGGGTCAAAATTCTACATGGGTGTGGTGGCACACCCCTGTAATCCTCAGCTTTAGGAGGCTGAGGCAGGAGGATTGTCTTGAGTTTGAGGCCAGCCTGGACCACACAGTGAGATACTGTCTGAAAAAAACAAACAAAATTCTAGACTCCAGAGTGCACATGGAACGCTGCCCCCACCTGGGCAGCCACCAGTGCCAGCCTTGCAGCCCCAGTGGCACTCTGTGGTTGCTACAAGTGTACCATGAGGCCCCTGAGGTGGCCTCACTCCCTCAGACTCTCCCAGGGAGTGGCCATTCCCTCCCAGCTGCCAATGGTCTGGATGCAGACAGTCCAAGCCTGCCGGTGCCCAGCACTGAGGTAATCCCCAGCTCTGCCCTCAAAAAGGGTCCAGCTGGCCATGCCCATCACATATGTGCTCTGCCAGGAGCCGAACATCCAGGGATCATAGGCCACAGCTCCAAAAGTCCATACTGGCTTCCCTTATAGCTGTCCCAGTGCTCCTCTGGACCTGGGATCTGTCCTTAGGAGACAAAAGCCAGATGCAGACCCTGTGAGGTGTTCCTACCTTTTGGAGGGATTTTATATATGTAGACAGACATATGTGCACATGCATAGATACATGTGCAAATAAACACACCCACAGACACGCGTGCACGCATATACAACATGCATGTGCATAATGCACAAACATACATGCCTACCACTTCATATCATAATATATACATACCATATACACATAAACATGCAGATACATACAGTCCTAAATGCACAACAGATGTAAATGCACACACGCCTGTACAGAGACACATATGTACAGAATATGCACAAATACAAAACCTATACATGCACACAACATGCACTGTGTACATGCATATGTGTACGCATAACATATACACTCACCTCAACTCATATATATTCATGTACACACAACACATATACACATGCACACACAGGTATACATTCATAGCACGCTATGCATATATAGTCATACATGTATGACACACAAATACGCAAATACATATGCACACAACACACATACACAAAAATATACAAGCTATGCACATATATAAACATACACATACGTCTACGCAAAGGTGGTTTCTGAGTAGGAGGAAGCTTTTTTTGTATTCTGTGGTTGAACCCAGGGAGCACTGAGTTGTACCCCCAGTTCCTTTGTATTGCCCAGGCTTGCCTCAAGCTTGTGATCCTTCCACCTTAGCCTCCCATGTAGCTGGGATTATTAGCATATGCCACCATGCTCAGCTGGAAGAATTCTTTTTCACTCTGAGCACTTCTGAACCATATAAGTATTTCATAGCCACATGGTCACGACAAATGACCACCGTCAGCAGCAGAGCCCCACACCTGGGCTCCCAACCATGGCTCTCCACATGAGCAGTCACAGGAGCCTGTGGCCCTGCTGTCCTCCCACCTGCTTAAGTGTTTAAACTGAGGTTTGGTGCGAGAAGCTCCTTTTCCACGACCACACAGCAAGTAAGGACGGTGGGGAATTAAAGCCCAGACCCTTGGGCTCAGAGCCCTGGTGCTGAAACCACTGCCCCTCTATCCTTACCAAGGAGGGCTGGGTGCCCTGGGGATGAGCTCTCGGGGGCTCCCTGTCCCAGATTCTGGACACTTAGCTCACTCTAAGCCTCAGTGGCCCCACGTACTACAGAGCTGTGGAGCAAATACCCCTGAATAGCCTGTAGTCCTGGGGCCAGCAGAGGACCTGGACCAGTGACCCTCCTGGTGAAGGGCATTTCCACCCCACCTGCTTACCCTGAGCAGTGATAAGGATGCAGGCCAGGCCATAGCCCCAGTGGCCCAGGAAGCCTCTCTACACATTACTCTCCCTCTCCGTAGACCAGAACACTGAAGTGCTTGCCCAGGGCACCTTCAAGGCAGAGCGAAATTCAGATCCAGGCCAAGTGCCCAAGCCTAGTGTACTAGGACATGCATCACTGGCACCCACCCTGAGAGGGAGCTACTGAGGCTGGGTAGGCAGAAGGGGGGTTCATGTGAATGGGAAGGGGACTACTTACCAGGCCTCTGGGATACCAGAAGCATGCTAAGAAATCCCCCTGGCCTGAGCCTGTGCCAATGACCTGAGGACTGCAAGGAGCAAACACTTGGTTAATGTGTCACCAGGGCCAACAGGAGTTCCCCGAACCCCTGGCAAGACCAGGAGCTGGGGTCGAGGTAGGCTGCTTTCCTCTAAACACTAGGAGATGCTTGGGGCAGGGGTGTAGGGGACTGCCTTCTGTGCACAGCTGGGCAGCACACGTGAAGCCTGGCCATGTGGTCCTGGGGCCACCTGAGGGGACAGGTCCCCTGCCCACAGCTGAAGGAGAAGGGGAGCTGGGACAGAAGATTATCTGAACCAGGCCTGCTGCACTCACAGCTGGGTTTGGCCATAGAGCAATGGGTGCTGCAGGTCCCCAGGGCTTGGACAGGGGTACTTTGGCCATCAGCTAGACCCATGAATGTGATACACATCAGGTGACACTGCCACAGGCCTGCATAGGGAGAGGGGTAGGGGCTGCCACCATACCTCCTCCATCATCCTCAACCCCAGTACCCAATGGCGCTAACCTCCACCTTCCCCAAAGAGCTCCACTAGCTCATAATTAACTACATACAAAGGAAAACAGCAACTAGGAAAAGTAAGGATGGCCTGGGGCTGAGTGGGCTCAAGCCGGGCATTTGGCCATTATTCCAGTTGCTGTCCTATGACCTGGTCCAGCCTGCTCAGGGGCCTATTTCTGGGGCTTAGCTAGGCACCAGGAGATGGTAAGGGAACCTGAGAATTGAACCTCCACATACCATGCCTGGGGTCCACCTAAGCTGGGGCAGGAGCTGTCAGCCTACCTCCCAGACCAGGCTTGGCACAAAGGGCCTGTGTCAGACCAGGGCTAGCTGTGGAGTTCAGCCCTCTGAGGCCTATGCCTGTCTTGTCCATGCCTGGCCATCCCAGGAAGCAGGACCTGAGGGTCTCCAGCCTCCATATCTGTATTCCTGGCAGGAAACCTCAACAGGAAGTGCAGGAGGCGGGTCTCCCTAGCAGCTGGGCCATGAGCTGGGCTGTGCTGGGCAGGCCCACTTCCTGTGGGCTCAGTGCTGATCAGAAATGACCCCAAGGCCCATCGGGATTACCTTTAGAACTTAGCTATGACTGATTTTTTCAGGAACTGCCACGAAAGTAGAAATGAAGGGAAGCAGGTTTACCCTGGCAGCTAAGTTTACACCTGGTCCCCACAGTTGGGGGGCATGTAAGACACGATTCTGTGGCCTGGAGGCTGGAGGTATGACCCCAGAAACCTCAGTCTGGGGGCCGTGAGGGGTAGGAGGGCTTGGCTAACACCAGAGGGCTGTGCCTCAGCTCCATCCTGGCCACCTACCTCCTGCTGTGTCTAACAGAAAAGTGTCTTCAGTGTCATGCCCAGGGCATGCCACAGCTGCGGGCCATTTCCACATTAAAACTGATGTTCACTATTCTTCTACGGCCAGCTCAGAGTGAGGTGACTCAAGGAAGAGACTGGCTCACTCCCTGAACACTGACAGGGCCCTCTGTGAAAGGGAATGGGGGACACGGGGTATGTGGAAGGGCAGGGGCCAAGCTTCCTCACCCCTTGGGCACCTCTGTCAGGAAGGTACAGCTGAAACCCTTGTGAGCCTCAGCCACCTGGGAGGCGAGTGGTGAGGCCCCACTTCACAGAAGAGGAGACCCGGGGAAGGTGCTGCAGGCCTCTGTGCCAAGTGGGAAGGTATGAAGACACCAGCACTGCGTGTGCTGGCCCACTCCAAGCACTTCCCATACACACATCAGCCACGCAGTTCTCACCACAACTCTCACTGGGGGCGGGGGGAAGCACTGTTATCAGCCCCATTTCAAAGGCGAGAAACTGAGGCACAGAGTCCTGACACGATATGGCCAAGAAACAGTGAGCTGAGGGCGGGAAGGCAGACGAGGCAGTGAGCAGGCTGGCGGAGCACAGCAGCCTCCAAGGGTGACCACCCCTTGGGGAAGCCTCCTGCCAGGGACCCAAGACCCCCATGACCTGGGATGAGACCTCGCGGGTGTAGCCCGGCCTCCCATCCACCACCTCCTATGCAGCCCTGCATGTTCAGCTGCACCAGCCTTTGCTCCTGCCCTTCCACACACGAGAGGGCCTGACCTGTCCACTCTGCCCCTTCCCATCTTCTGAGGCCAGCGCTAACACCCTATACACACTTCTGTCTTGGCTTCTCCTGACTCTCCAGGCTGCGCTCTGCTGTCTGCAGATAGATGGGGAGGTGGGAAGGGGCTCCATCTTCCTCTCTCTTGTCCCTAGAGCCCATGCAGTGACCCCTGAGCACCCTACCCAATCTCTCCTGGGCCCAGGATGCACCCAAGACCCCCAGGAAGCACAGGCCACACTGCTGTGAACAAAGCTGGTGTTGGGTGAAGGGCACAGCCTGGGCAAGGCTAAGGGCAGGGGACGAGCCATTCTACCCTTCCAACCAGCTTCTAAGCCCCCTGCCTATCTGCTGCATGATGTGCTTCCCACCTGTCCTTGAAGGGAGAGAGGGACCATCTTTTCCCTTCTGAAGATCACATCCAAGAAGACCCAGAGGGGTGAGTGGAGCCCTGCAAGTTTCCTCATCTCTCATCCAGGGACAAACGTCTGTGCAGTCCCAAGACCATCCCAGCCCTGGCTCCTGGCTTCTCCCTACCTGTCCTGTCCTGTCCCGCCCGTTAGCCTAGAACCGGTCACCCACACCCAGGCAAAATGTCCGTGCCCCAGTGGGTTTCACACCGCAAGGACGCCTGGAAAATCCCAGCCGGCCCCACTCTATTCCCATTCTTAGAGGGGTCGGAAAATGAAAGAACGTCCAAAGCCAACATTTCACCAGAGGCCTATGCCAGGACCAGTTGTGCTGGTAAGAGCTGGGCCCTGAGCTGAAGCTGGGGTCACAGGTCCCCAGGCGGCGCAGGCCCCTAGCAGGAGCAGGGAATATAAGGGGGGAGAGGTGGGGTCAGGAAGGGGTTAGCCTTCAATGTGGGGGGGCGGGGGGCGGGACAGGCCTTCAACCCAGGGCCTGCGGGTGGGCATCCTGGGGGCTGTGAGCGGGTGACTTCCCTGTTTCTGGAAGTCAGGTGAATGGTGCCACAACACGCGCATGGGTTTCCCCAACACGACAGCTTCGGCAGTGTGGTCACCTCGCGGTGACGTAACTGTCTGCCCATTGCTGGCCTGGATCTCAGAAGCGGTGACTCCACTCCGCCCACCCCACGGCTCACCAGGAGATGGCCTGGAGGGGCTGGAAGTCAGGAAGGCGGTGTGGGACGCTCAGAGAGGGGGCCGCGGCTGTGCTCCCACCCGCAGCTATGCGTGAGCACAGCCAGGCGTGGGCACGACCCGGAACCAGCACGCCCGCCCGCGTCGCGCTCACCTACCCCGGTGTCTGGAGCCCGAGCGGCCACTGCTCAGTACAAGCAGGACTCGGCCTGGACACAGCGTCCCCCGACACCCCTCAGCGTGGACGCGGCGCGCAGCTGGCCCAACGCCCACAGGTGCCCGCCGAGCCGCGGGCTTGCGGCCCAGACAGGACGGCGCCGGTCACGGGGCACAGCGGCGAAGGGGCGGCAGTCTTACCGCGGGGTCCGGGGAGCCGGGCGAGCCCGGGTGCAGCTCGCCGTTGAGCTCGTATTCCTCGGTGCGTGAGTCCATACTGAGGCCGCCAGGCCGCCTCGCTCTGGCCTGAGCTCGCAGCGCCGCTCGCGCAGCCGATCCCTGCAGTGCCCCGCCCCCGACACGCCCCCTCTCCGGCGTCCCCGTCGCGCCGCCCCGACTCCTCCTCCACCAGGCCGACCGGGCCTAAAGAGGAGTTCGCGGTCCGGGTACCAGCGCTCTGTGGCCAGGTCTGCACCAGCGTAGCGGTGGGACTGCAGGGCAGGCGCTCAGGGTTCCCGGCGCGGGGTCACGGCCAGGGCAGGACCACGCTGAGCCTCCGTCTTGTGCACTTTCACCAGCCCTTCGATGGCCACTTAGCGGACTGCCGCGCGCTGCACGAGGCCGAGCCTGTGTGGCTGTGGCCATCTGTGTGGGGTTTGTCCTGGGCGGGGCTCGCTCTGGTGGTGCAGGTGTCTCCAGTCCAGACCAGCGCTTGCTGCGCACACGTGGTGACTGAGTGTTAATGGTCCTGCCGGGGCTTCCTACTCAGAGCCTCGGCTTTCCAGCCTAGGAAATGGGAGTACAAAGGCCTCCCCCACGGGTGGTGCTGGGAGGGAGGTAGAGTGGGATCGAGGACGGCGCAGCCTCATGTCCTGGAGGGAGGCAGGACCCCGTGCTCCAGCCAGCCGCTTGGGCAAGCAGAGCTTGGTGACTCCTCCAGCCGAGGCTTAATCAGTCTTTGTTTCCCAGGAAGTCCTGGAACCTCTCCTGAGAGTGAGAAGCCAGGTGGGAGCAGAGACAAGGGAACATGGTCTTCCAGGGCTAAACAAGGCTGCAGGAGCTGGGATTGAAGGCCACAGGGGTGTCTTCCCCCCCCAACCTCACTCCAGAGGTGGCTGCATTTTAACCTACTCCCACGGGCTGCACCCCAGATTTGTGCATTGTCTTTTGGTGTCTGCTAATGCCTCCCTACAACCTCTCAGTAGTGAGCACCTGGGCTCTGGCTAGGCCAGGGTGGGGGCTAAAACTGGCACCCTGCAGCAGAGTGCGCTCAGGCTTTCAAAAAGGGGAAAATATGACTCCCAACCTGCTAGATGTCAGATATGCCAATTTCGTGTCCCCGGAAATGGAAGAATGAATTCTAAGGAACAATGGAGGTTAAGAGTAGGAAAGATTTATTGAGAGATAGCTCCTGAGAGACAGGAGGGGACCTGAAAGTGGGTTGCCACTGAGATTATTTCTCCAAGAATGTTTTATAGAGCAAAATCATGAGGTGGGTACAATGTGGGTCAAACTACTAGAATCAACCAATAAGATTACAAGTAAAGCCACTTAGCTAATGTTGATTCAATAGGGAAGTCCATCAGGTAGCAAGGGTATATGGAAAGAACAGAGGCATTTTTGGGAAGGAATGGGTCTAGATTCTCTGGTCACCCGCTTGGGTGACTGATATCTATCTGGACACCACTGGACCAGGTGATACCAATTATAGTATAATTCCAAGTTAGTGCTTATCCCTTAGGGGAGTATGTAGGCCTTTACATCTTTATCTTGAGGCTTGGCCTTCAGCTCGTGCCTCCAGCCACAGTTCTGATGTTTTGTTTTGTTTTTCCTACTGTCTTCCTTGAGAGCTCAGTCCCTCTCTGACTGTATATTAATTTCTATCTCACTTAGCTGCCTATAATAGCTTCACTTCCCTGTGCATAACTTTATCTGTGCTTTCAGGATGAGGCTGGGGTTTGGTCAAGGTTGTGGGAGCCTGTTTTTGTTCACCCCTCCCATAAAGAAACTAAAGGTCTGGTGTGGTAATGCATGCCTGTAATCCTAGAATTTGGATTTGCAGCAGCAGTGGGATTACAAATTCCAGCCCAGCCTGGGCAATTTAGCAACTTAATGAGACTCTATCTCAAAAAAAAAAAAGGACTGGGGATGTAGCTCAGTGCAAAGGCCCTGGGTTCAATCCCTAATGCTGCCAAAAGAAATGAAAGAGCAGAGAGGTAAGAAATGGTGCTTGAGGTCATCTGTACTCCTGGTCTGGCTGGAGGCAGTGGAAGCTGGAACAGGCAGGGCTCTGCCCTGGGCCCCCGTGGGACAGGCAGTGAGCAGGAGGACAGGTAGAGACTGGGTCTGTAAAGGGCTTGGTGCCATTGAATCTCATCTTACAAAGAGCCCAGTAAAGGCAGCATTCTCCTCCATCACCTAATGGGGAGAAACTGAGGTATAGCTGGGCAGACTCCTCCAGGAGAATTCGGCCCAGGAAGTTATGCTCAGAATTCCGGGAAGTTTGTGCCCACCCCCAGAAGTTCCCTGTCCTCCACCTTTCCAGGCTGGATGCTGGATCCCAGGCTCCCCCAGGGTGTGGTCTTCACTCATCTCCCGCACACCTCTCCTCTGCTGTGTGTGTGTGTGTGTGTGTGGGGTGAATTTGTAAGTGGAACTGAAGGCACAGAAAGTGCAAGTCACTCTGAGGAACTGATCAGAAAACAGATCCTCTGCTCATCCCAGGCCAGCCTCTCCTCCCAACCTATGGCACGTCTGCCACCTGTGCTGGGGACAGACTGGGGCATAGGGTGGCCAGATTCCAACTTGACCATCACTGGTGTATGGTTGGGGCTGGTTGCTGGGCTTGTTTCCTAAGTGTTCATCCTTCAGCATTCTGCCCATCTGGGGGTTGTAGGGCTTGTGGGAGCCACCCTGGGAAGCCAGGAACGTGAACCCTGGCCATAGCCCTCCCCATCCCATTGCCCCCAGGTGAGGCCGCCAAGCCTCATTGGTTTGGACCCCACTAAGACAGGAAGGGAGAGCGTGAGGGTGTGGCAGGGCAGGCAGCCAGGACAGTGCTGCCCCTGATAGCTCACCTAAGGGCGGCTGGCATTTTAACGGGCCCAAACCATGGAGGAGCTGTTTGGGGCTCACTTTGCTCAGCTGAGCAAACTGAAGCTCAGAGAGGTTGTCAGTGCCACAGCCCTCCCTGCAGGAGTCTCTCAGGCTAGGCCTGGGGAGGTAGCCCATGAGAACAGTGGTCACTATCACAGGGATCACAAGCAGCTGGAGAGCAAGGTCTTTAAATGTTGGCGTCATCCCCACAGGAAGAACATGCCCCTCCTCCACTGTGTGGGACAGACTCCATAGGAGGGAGGCCCCAGAGGCCCCTTCACAGCTTGTCTGTCCTTTGAGCCCCTCCTGGCTGTGAGACCCATTATTCTCACCTTCCCAGGAAGATTTTGGTGTAAAAATTGGACAATGGGTTCTGCACCTGTAATTCCACTTTATCCTGGTGCCTGGGACCTCTGCCTGCCCAATCTCAGTTTCCTCAGCTGTGTGTGTGGCGGGAGGAGCCCTTGGCTTTGCAGTGAGGGATTTCCCAGGCTGCTGTGTCATCAACTTCCTGGCTCAAGGCTGTTTACCAAGCTGTGGTCTGCTGGATCCCACCCAGGATGTCTTAAAGGGACAGTGCCCACTATGGCTGCAATGCCCATAAGATTTCAAGGTTTCCTGGGATGCTGCTGAGCAAATGAGCCATCCATGGCCAGCTCCTAGGTGCTGGCCCTGAGCTGAAGGTGGAAGTGACCATTAGAAGTATTCCAAGGAGGGACATAGAGCAGGGAGGGGCCCAGCAGGGACCATGGCTAAGCCCTGTCTCTATGACAGAAAGACACTCTGTGTGTGTGTGTGTGTGTGTGTGTATGTGTGTGTAGGAATGGAGACACACAAACACACTGGTGTCTTTGCACAAGGACATCGGGAGCCTTTGCTGGGCAGCCCATGGCTGACAGCATCTCAGACTATGTCCCTGGTGCCTGGGGAGTCATAGTGTGTCACTGTCCCCATGAAAGGAAGCTAGTTGATAACTTCCAGGGTGTGGAGGAGAGTTCAAATCCACCTCTTCTGAGCTCTTTGGCATCAGTAAGATGGGAATGCTCTGGAGATGGCATATGAGGACCACTCTGGTGGTCCCACTCCAAGCTTCTTTCCTAGTCACAGTGATGCCTACAGCATCCAGTTCCATCCCCTACCCAAAGGACAGAGCCTCAGGCTTGTCACAGGAGCAGGCCCAGTGTTCATGTCTCCAGCCGGGGCCTTTATCAAGAGGGAGTCCGGGCCCCCCTGACCAGGTCCTTCAGCAGATGTGCTGCACTGCAGAGGCCTTTGCAGGCTCAGAGCACATCATCCTGGGTGGGAACTAAAAGCTTGGGCCTCCTCCCCCACGCTACCCACAGCAGGGCTGAGCATGGATGGTCTGACACTGTGGAGAGCACAGAGGTGACGCTGGGATCTGGGAGAACATGGGTGAGAGCCTCAAGCTTGCGATGCCAACAGGCAGACAGTGCCTTTACTTGCACTGGGGTCTTGGCAAGCGACTGTGCCTGGGCTCCTCTGCCTGCCTTGGGGAGGCCTGGAGGACATAGCTGCTGGGGGCAGGCTGACTTGGTGCTCCTGCCCCTGCGTGCCCACGGTTGCCCGACTGCACCTGCCTACCACCAGGGCAGCTGCAGCACTGATGTTGCTAGGCATGGCCCACCCGCACCCACTCGCCCGGGGAGCCTGTTACCCAGCCTCAGCCTTTGGGCAGCTGGGCTGTGCATTTCTAGCAGGTAGTTTTAGGACTCCGACTGGGTCATGGTGGATAGGAGGGTGAGAGATGCAGGTTGAGCAACGTGGCCTCCCCATTTCCAACAGGGCAGAAGAAGGAAGGCTGGGCCTGCGAGGAGGAGCCAGGCCATCTTGCCCATGCTAGAGACAGAGCAATGGAGTCTCCAAGGGGTAGGGGACCTCCTGAGGTCACCAGGCATGGTCCCTGGGAGCAGGAGGCACAGGGGATCAAGGATGATGCCAGACCAGGTGAAGTGAGGTGAATGATGTACCATTCCCCACGAAGAAGAGATACCCAAGGCCACACAGCAAGGCATGGCTGCCCCAGATGGCCCCTGGACACCAGAGACACAGTGGACACCCACCACGTGGAAGCGACTAGTGAATCATGGCCACCCACCATCTGGAATGTTGTGCAGGCAGAGTGAGCAAGAAAAGCCCACTGACTTGGAGGGACCAGTGGGTCCTGGGGACAGAGGACAGGGGGAAGCAGAGAGCTGGTGCTGTCATCTTTCCCTGCCTGTGTGTACTTCTGTCATCTCTTTGGGGCTCCCAGGGTCAGGCTGGGGCTGATGTTGCTTTGCACTTGTGAGCATCTGTGTCCAGCCAAGTCCTGTCCCCAGATGCCAGAGTACAGACCCCAACCTGTCCTCTTTTCTCTTGGCCTTAGCTCCATAGTGGATTCCTAGACTCAGAGCTGTGCCTCCCAGTCTCCGCTCCAGCTAGGTGGACCCTTGAGGCTGCCTTCTGCTGATGGAAGGGGTGTCCACAACATCAGGGGAAGGATGGTGAACAGAAGGGATGTTAACTACTTCCTCCTTCCTCCCAGGAGGAAAATGGATGCAATGGCTGGAATTCCAATGCCATATTGGACTACAAGGATCCTTGAGGCATGGAAGCCATGCATACCAGGCCCGAAGACTGAAGGAGCCTGCGTCTCCAGTGCTTGGAGTACAGGCCTTTCCCAGGTGGCCATCCTCAGACTTTTCATTGTAAGAGAAAAAAACAACTCACTTTGAGGCCATTATAATTTTGTTTTTTTTCTGATACTCACAGTTGATATCAATTCTAGTTTGCAAAAGTAAGTTAGATGACACCATGACTTGGCAGCTTAAATCCTTCTGAAGGCTCCCGGGGGCCCTTACTCCTCGCCCAGGTACCTCGGCCCCTGTGCCTGCTCTTCCCCTTTCAGACAGGCAGGCTGACCCGCATGCATTAACACATGCACATGCGCACACACAGACACACTTCCACAAGTGCACACACGAACACATGCGCACACACAGTCACATTCAGACAAGTGCACAAGCACATGCACTTGCACACATGCGGGCATAAAGAGAGACCCTCTCCCTCACTTTGTTCCATTGACTCCTTTTCTCCCTCCACCTGAACAGTGTCCTGCCTCAGGCCTCCACATGGCCAGCTCCTTCCTGTCCCCTGGGTCCTCCTGCCCTGGACCAGTGCCTGAAAGCACCTTGTTCCTGTGTTTGTGTGAGTGTTGTTTGCTTCCCACTCTGCTCCAGACCAGCACCTCAGTCATCAGCACCTGGGAGAGAAGTCACCTCAGAGCCCAGGTTCTGGGGACTCTGCCCATGGCCCAGTGTCTCCCCAGGGCATGGCCTGGTCACATCCTCTTTGTCCGTCCTCCGGGCAGGGCAGCCAGCTGTCCCTTGGCCCAGCCTGCACTCAGCCAACCACTAATGACAGGGGCTAACTGGCTTCTTATTCTTGGCCCCAGCATGGGCCACTCACTCAGCCACAAAGCCACTCAGCCTGAGACCATGGGAGTGAGGTGGTGGCCAGGCACAGGTGCCCTGTGGTTTGGAGAAGATCCATCTCCTGGCAGGTGCCACTAGTCTGTGCCTCTTCCTCTCCCCACAGTCTAGTACAGGCTGCGTGGCCTCCCCTGCTCAGGAAGCTGGGTCTAAATGCTTGCTTGCTGCCAAGCTTGATACCAGCCCGAATGCTCAACACAGCCCCTGGGTACTGTGTGAGTTGTGCCATATGTTGGTGGGACCCCCCGCCTGCTGGCAGTCCCCACCTCCCTGTCCTCTGCCCGGGATCAGAGCCCTCCTTCTCCAAGCCCAGGGCCGCCCCTTCAAGTCCCCAGTGCCCTGAGGGCATCCTCCTGCACGCAGACCCCCAGGTCCTCTTCACCCTTTCTCCCTGAGCCCCTCCCACTCGAAGTGAAGGGGGCTGAAGTGGGACTCTCTCCATCTGGTTCTTTGATTTGTGGGCACCGCGTGTTGCTGAGAATGGAACCCAGAGCCCTGCACATGCTAGGCAAGTGCTCTTCCACTGAGCTGTACTCCTGACCCCACTGGGAACACTTTCTTGCCTGTCCCAGGCTGTCAGGGCATCCAGAGTCACAGCTATCTTGCCAGGGTAGAAGGTGGAGTATGGAAGGAACTGTTGTTGCCCATGGACCCAGAAGTCCAGGCTTGGGGCTATTATCTCATTGCTACAGGGTGGCTTCACCTGTAGAAGAAGGGGGTCACTGGACCTCTGAGAGTTGAGACTTGAATCCAGGTCACCTGAGTCTGCCTAGCACCCTGCCCACTGCAGCTGGGTGCCAAAAGCGACCTCATGGCCGCAGCAAGGTCGTGCCCAGCCCTTTCTTGTCTTCCATGAAGAATACAGCCCACCTCAGATCCGAGGTGACCTCAGCTCAGCTCTTTGAGCAGATCTCTGCAAAGAGCCGCAGAGCCTGGGTAAGGCTGGGGAGAAAGCCAAGACTGAAGGCCCCTCCAGCCTGCTCCCGTGGCAGGACTGTGCCCTGTGCCCCATGCCCTTTGTCCCTGCATGACAGAATACTGTTGCCCTTAGCCTGGACCAGTTTTCTTTTCAAGTTCTACTTCTGGTTGGACCTCTGCTTCCCTCACCTGGACCTCAGAGCCCCTGGGCTCACTCGCTGAGCCCAGCCCTGCATTTCTACCCAGTCCTGAGGTGCTGGGGATACCAGTAGGGACCCTGCTAGGAGCTTCAGCAGCTCCCAGCCGGGGGTGGGACCAAGGGATGCGGGCAGGAGGGGCTACTCTTGGGCCATCATCACAGGCAAGGCCACACCCGGCACCTCACACAAACCGATGGCTAAGTGTCCCTCAACAGGATTCAGGGGTCCCTCCCTCCACTGTGGGAAGGCAGGAGTGCCTGGTGTGGCGTGTCAGAGACGAGGACATCAGGGCACCAGTCTTGGCCATCTTACTTGCATCGAGCTGTGAAGGGAAGAGCCCTAAGAGCCTCCGGGCACCAGCACGTCTGCACACTGGGTCGGGTGGGTTAGCAGCTTGGTGATGTCCTTCCCAGGTCACATCTCTGGCTCTCACGAGAGACGTAGTCCAGCAAATAAGCAGGCAATGCCTGTGTAAGTCATTCCGGGGAAACTGACTTTGGAAAGCAATGGCCCAGGTGATCTTGACCTCATGCACCAAGAACAAAACTGCAGAGGGCGTAGGCAGCTGAACACTCACTTGCCATCTGCCCTCTGTCCCTAGCTGCTGTCACCCACCCTGATGACTGGTCTGTGCCCTTTGCACTCTGAACACGTAGAACCCAGCTGGTCTTCCCCCACCCGGAGTTTCCCTCCAGTGCTGGGGGTCATCTGACTTCGGTTGCTTTCTTTCCCTTTCGCCAGGGCTGACGGAAGGACGGGTCCATCCAGGTGTCCTAATCTACGGAGGGTCTTTGGAGGCCTGGGAGGAGAGTGGCCCTAAGAAGGCCAAGTGTGCCCTGCTGGCTGGGCACAACGTGGGTAGCAGAGGACCCCATGAACAGAGCTGTATATGTAATGCCCCGAGTGTGAGCCACCTGCCTCCCTCAGGAGCACTACCCTTCCCGTTTAGGAGTGCTGCTTGGGCGGAGCAGAGCCCAAAATGCCACGTTTCCTATCCCTGGCTTGGATGACATCTTGGCTGGCAGGGCCATGGTCCCACAGGCCAGTTGCTGGGCAGCAACCAGGGCAGCATGCAGTTGGTGGGGTGGAGAGCAGCTCACGGGCTGACAGAGCCCTGCCAGCACAAAGGGGCACTTGTAGGACAGGCATGGCATGTCTCCATCAGAACACAGGGAAGACAGAAATAGCTGTTCACACAGTGCCAGCAGGGCTGGGCTTGCTGGCGCTGGAGGATGTCGGCTTTCCGAACCTTCTCCAAGCTGGGCAGCCAGGCCACAGTCACTAGGGAGGAACTCGCCCCAGCCTGGCAGGGGACTTTCTGATAGTTCTTCCTGCTGCTAAAACACAGGGAGAGAGAAAGGCAGAGACGAAGGAGGCAGATGGAGCAAGTGAGAAAAAGAGAGCGTGAAGAGAAGGCAGACAGGTTAGCTCTCCCCTGCGGTATCCGCCTCAGTGGCTCCCCATGACAGGAGTGCGAAATAGGGCTTCCCCACCCGTCTCTCAGGAAGGCAGGAGGAGATGGCCTCACACTCTAGGAGAGGCTCAGGAGCCCCCGCAAACTCTAGTCCTTCTGGGCACAGACAACTTTGTATTATTTCTTCTGCCTGTAATGTCCCTCAAAAATATGCAGATTGCAGAAAAATGAAGTCCTTCCCACCTGAGCCCTCATTACTAGTCCATTTTCTGTAGCTAATAACACAATGCCACAGACTAGGTAAGTTATGAAGAAAAGAGGTGTATTTGGCTCACAGTTCTGGTCCAAGGCCAGGAGACCTTCTTGCTGGTACAGGTGGCCCAGGACACCATATGGTGAAGAACAGAGAGCGTGTGTGTGTGTACTTGTGTCTCTTCTGGTCTCCCTCTCCAGCTCCAAACAAAACCACCAAGATTCAACCACAAGGGCTCCACCCTAACGACTTAAATCCAGGTCACCTCCTGAAGGTCCCACGAGCCCCATGGTCACATTAACTTCCACCCTCTTTTTTTTTTTTTTTTTTTTTGTACCAAGAATTGAACTTAGGACCAGGCACATGCCGGGCAGGCACTATGCTGCTGCCCACATTCCCAGCCCCACTTCCCACCCTTTTTATATCTCACAGTGGAGATTAAATTTCAGCACAGGAAGTGTTGGGCACATGCTCAAAACATATCCAAACTCTAACACACCTATAAATAATTTTTTTAAAATTTAGTATGCAGAAACCAATGCTGGTAATATTTGGGGGAAGTTAAGAAGTACCTCAGTTATTAGTGATAGAGATTGAAAATTCAAAGGGGTAGGTAATACAGAATTTCTTTTTCTTGAACATGAAAGGAAGCTGGATATAGGCAATATAAGCTTGGCTTGGCACCTCCATAAAGTTATCAGGGAATTTTTTTCTCTGCTTGCATAGGATCTAACTTCAAAGTAGCCTCATGGCCCAAACAACACAGCAAGAAGAAGGCATAGGGAGCAAAATGAACCTGCAGCCTGGAGCAGATATTGCAGATCAGCCACTCTCGTGTCCCTGATTTTATTCTGAGGGGCACTGTATCGAGCTGAGTTTGTAGCAAGAGATAGCAGTGAGATGTAAGCAGAATTTGTTGAATGAGTCTCTGAAAAGCTCCTCAACAGGACAGACAATTAGAAATGGGTAAACATAGCAAGTGGGAAACAGTTCAGAGAGGGAAAGGTACAGTATACCCATTGACCTGAGATCATACAGGAAAATTCGTAAGTTTCAAACAGTGGAAAAATAGAAACATGCTGTATTGTATTGTATTATATTATATTATATTATATTATATTCACTTGGCAGGACGTTTTGACAGTCCCTGTAAGTGCCAGTGATGGAGGACAGGTATGAACAGTGTTTACAATGTGGCATTAGAAGGGAGACAGGAGCTCCCAGTGTGTCTCCTGTGACCATCACAAGATGACCACATGTCTGGGTGAGGATCGGAACAGAGACAGGGCAAGGTTTTCTTTTAAAACTTCCCTGAAGCTTGCCTTAAATATATGTATGCTTACATAACCTTTCCTTATAAAGGATATTCATTGTCAACAATTCAGAAAATGAAGGTGAGGGGGAACAAAAGAAAATAATTCCACTGCCCTGAAATGACAGCTGTCTGTCCTTTGATACCGTGTC